GTATGTTTTCCTAGTAGTAAACATATGGTTCTTCCTATTACAACGTTGGTTCAGGATGAACACCTGAGGGAGAGAAGGTACTACTAAACATGAATGAACGGCATTTGCTAGACATGGCTCCAGGCTTTTTCGCTGTGGGGAACTGATGGGACATGGGGCAGAGGAGAAACTGTGTAGCTAGAGCTCTTAACTCTTAACCCAGAATTTTCCCATCTATGATGCCAAGAATGCTAGTTCTAAAAGACTTTACATAGCCCTAGCCAGTTTGGCTCAGAGCATCGGCCAAAGGGTCCCAGGTTTGATTCTGGTCAAGGGCACAAACCTCTGTTGCAGGCTTGATCCCTAGCGCTTGTGGGGCACGTGGGCGTATGCGGGAGGCAACCAATTAGTGTGTCTCTCTCACATGGATGTCTCTTGCTCTCTGTCTGAGGTGGTGGTGGTGGAGGTGGTGGTGTGAATTTCCATGGCCAGTGCTTGAAAGTGCTGAATCCAGCAGAGTTCAACATGATTATTACTCTGCTCCTCAGGGCCTTTTTATGATTATATGCAAATCACAAGCAAAGCAGGTGGGGATAGGCATCGCGTGGCCAACACTGTCATTGAGTTCACATGTTGAGGCTCACGCGGGCTGGAATCCCTGCTCCCTGCCTGAGCTGGAGGTCTGTGGGCCAGCCTCAGTTCCTCAGTCTGTAGTAGAGATTATTGAGATGATGAAGTGTGCCAGTGCTTGTAAAACAGCTCAGAATGCCTGGCACATACGGGACATTTAACAGTTAGCTAGAGCTAATCCTTCTGAACCCCAGGCCGGATGGCTCTGATATCGTCATGTTCTGGGTTGTCACAGTGCAGCAGAAAGAGTCCAGAGTAGGGTAACCAAAGTTTTGGGGCTCCCTTTTGGCCAGTAACTAGACTGAATGATTTTTAGCTAATTTGCCGCTATAGTGTTCTGTTTCTTTTAACTTTTGAAAAAAAATTGATGCCTATAATTTCTTAGTCAAACCCTAATATTATAGGCTCCTTTGGGTTTTACTATAGAGGCCAGAATTGGCAAGTTCATTTAAAGGGGAAGTAATTTTCTGAAGGTTGGGTCCAGGGGTGTGTGGTGTTCGTGACTGTCTGACTTTGTTACTAACCTAAGTGTAAACCATGAAGTGATATAACACCTACTGCATTGAGCTTTAATGATCTTACTGGTTCCACTCGTTTAGGGCATTAGAGGGCATTCGCCTAGTGGATATAGCAGTGCATCTTCCAAGGAGGACCTGGGATTTCTGAAGAACAGAGTCCCATGCGGGCAGGTGGAAGGAAGCAAGACAGTTTACAAGCCCTTTACCTACATGAGAAAAATCCAGCGATTAGTTCAGTGGCTGTCTCACAACTTTTGTTTGCTGAGAAAATGGACTGGTTTGTGCTATTTCTTATGAAAACCCAAGACTGGTGTTGCATTAACATTTCTGTGGGAAGACCTGCCTCGTGTATAGAGGCTGTTTAGTGCTTCAGTGTCCGCGGCTGGACGTGGCACAAGCAGGCGCCTCTGTCTCCGTCTGCTGCCCATTCCCCCTCGTGGTCTCTAGTTGCTTTCCACGACAGGTGTGCTCTTCTGTTGCACCTCTGGCATGAGCCAAGGGGAAAGGTCTGAAAGATGAGCTTTGCTTTTCTTCCAGCTTGTACTCCAAGCCCTGTTAGCCAGCAGGCTTGACACCGCCTCACAGAAATGGCCAGGCCCAGATTAAACAACCTCGCTGTGAAATCCTCCGGCAGGGCTAGGGCAGCTGCTCCAGGTTTGGGGCCCACGCCACCCGCCCTGCCTCCCGGGTACGTTCATCAGGTGGCTCTGTCTCATCCAGCCAGAGGGTGTTCGGAGGGTGTCCTGGGGGTTGGCTGGGTGTGAAAGCGGTCGTCTGGAGTTGCCCCTTTTGGTGGCTTTCTCGAGAGATGCACGTCGTCTTG